AAGTCAAGTGCCGAAGCCGAGTATAGGGGAGTAGCAAATGTGGTATCCGAATCTTGCTGGCTTCGAAATTTGTTACTTGAATTACATTGTCCCCTAAGGAAAGCGACTTTAGTATATTGTGACAATGTAAGCGCCATATATCTCTCAGGTAATCCCGTTCATCATCAAAGAACCAAACACATCGAGATGGATATACTCTTTGTTAGGGAGAAAGTTGCGCGTGGTGATGTTCGGGTTCTCCATATTCCTACTCGACATCAAATTGCGGACATATTTACTAAGGGGCTTCCACGTATATTGTTTGCAGAGTTTCAGGATAGTCTCAGCATCCGTGGCCCTCCTGCTTTGACTACGGGGGTGTGTTAAGATAATTATGTAAATAATTAGCTTAGTCAAAGTGTATATATATTGTTACCTTGTTTATAGGATCAGTTTCCTAGTTTATTGCCTAAATGTATGCCAAGATTATTCCTTGTATACGTGTATAAATATCAATGAGCTATGAAGGAAAGATTCACGGAAAACATTCTTTTATAAAATAATAAGAGACATGATTATTTTATTTTGGCAAATACTTAAGGCAAATACAGAGTATATAGCAAAAGGATCGTATGACTTCCCGTGTTAATGATATTACACAGCTCTTTATTTAGACGAATAAAGTATCTTATTTATACATTTAAAACTATATTAAAAATTGAACAAACTAAGATGTGACATGACTATATTATATTATCAAATGAGCAATAAAAATATATTTAAAAAATTTAATTAAAATTTAATTATGTAAATAATAAACAAATTTTATATGGAGTAATTTAAATTATAATAACACTCTAGAAAGTGATCACTAATTTAAAATTATTTTAAAACATGCTTTGCTTTTTGTAAGAGAAAAAAAATCGATAGAATCCAAAGTTCACTTTGCAGTTTGCACCATTAGTTCATATCAAAGAAAATTACTCTATAATAGCAACAAATTTATATGGTTAGAGTCTTTAAAGAGATATGATTGAGTAGCAATTAGAAGTAAACAAGCGTAGGGTAATGATTAATTCGGTTTTTTTTCTTCTTCTGTGGCAATGTGTGTAAATAGTCATCATGCTGTACCAAACATGGACTACCAATGCCATTAACAGATGTAACACAACCACCAATAACTACCCCAAGCCCCAATAACAACATGCCACTATATAATGACGCACAAAAAAAAAGATGCATTTCTATATCCCTTGTAATAATTGGAGGACAACCTTTGTCCAAGCCCGAATGTCAAAGAATTAACTTGACCATAAATGGGATGACAATGAATCATGTTTTGGTCGGGTAAAGTTCCACCTTCATCTGTCCATTAATTTTATATTCATTACTCCATACATCTATCATCTGTTACGTAAATCACTTATCATCAAATTTATCCATTGTCCACAGATGAAATGGGTGAAGCAGTAGAAAATGGGTGATATAAGTAATACGGAGTAATTTTTTAATCATTAATTTCACGGGATGAAAAAAATTATGAAGCGCATAAATACGAATGGATCGGATCAGGTGACAGGTGGGAAAAACTTTCATCCGACTCATCCATCGTTGGCCCGTCCGTCATCCTTTGTTTTTTTGTTCGAGTTTTTATCCATTAAATCAAGTCGGGTGATTTGGTTATCCGTCTGGTTGGGTAAAAATTGACACACCTACACACAAAAGTTTGTCAACGAAAGATTTTACTCCGTATATTTTTTTTTGTATCATTAGATACTCAATAATGAAAAAATAATTTCATAGTTTAAAGAGGAAGATAGTGCCCTTTTTTAATACTCCCTCTGTCCCAAAAAGAATGGGACGGTTTGACTTTTAGGGAAATTAAGGGAGAGATATTTTGGTATTGACTTTCCAAAAATACCCTTGATGTGATGGGTAAAAGTAGGATGTGATGAGTAGATTATTAGAAAAAAGGTATGATGTGATAGGTAGGGTATGAAAAAGTAAGGGGTAAAAGTGGTTTTTTAATAGAAATGTAACGGACTTTACGAGACGCAGTTTTTTCTAAACGTAACAAACTTTTTGAGACGGAGGGAGTATAACATTTGGGTTAATTCAAAACATCACCAAGTAATGCATTACACACATAAACTGGAAGTGTAGAAACTCACTTGAAAAAACAAGATATAGAATCAAATGCCCGAGCTAACAAGTGAATAACTTGATTTACTAATTTTCTAACGATCGACCATGATGTGGACTCGAATTATGTTGTAAGAAAGAAACAATAAGATATAATAATACTTGTGAAATAAGATAAATCATGAACATTAAATTGAAGAACCTTGAAAATTGTCTGATTGTCCATCTCGATTGTAATCTTCTCTCTACCACACCAGGTTTTGAGCCAAGTAAGCGCTTCCCTTATACACATAGCTTCTGCCATCATCAGTGAGTTCTCAACTCATCCCACCTCTTTAAAAGCTCCTCAAATGAATCTGCATGTCTCATCCCATATGCCCGGGATCGGCGTTCCACCTTAAGATTGAAACTGACATTGACATTATTCCACTTAAGTTCTTGTTTGCTTGGAGGAGTTCATTTGATGGTGTTTATTTCATCTTTTCCACTGTTACGCACTAACCCATTATCGCGTTACGTCAGGTTCATCATTTTATGGGTCATAAGCCAAACAAAAAATTGGGCTCTTATTTAGATAAACTTTGCTTGTAGATTAGTATTTTTGGTTAACATTATACTCTATATAAAAGTAGACAAAATATCCAAGCAATTTTGAAAGGTGCAATAGCTCTTGAAACATTAAAATGTGTGAACACGTTCTCATACTCACATTTGAGATGCAGTCGAGAAGCATGAAATAATGATTGATTCGGCTGTAGAATATTGAAACAATAGACTTGGGCTCAATTCAACCGTAAAAGTTAACTCAAGAGATTGAGGTACTCATTTATTACGGAGTAAATAGCAGCACAATATAAGGTTGCATTGCCGATGTGAGATGAACAAGTCAACACAGTGTACTACAAGGTCCTTGGCGAACTCGTGATCTTCGGATCAAGAAGTTTTAATATCTTTCCAAAAAGCTAAGTAAAATTTGCACTAAATAGTACTAAAACATATGATATCATGCTGGGAAATAAAAACATATGATACTACATTAAAAAGTAATTATGTTTTAGTACTATTCAGGTAAATTCCCTTAAAACTAATTCAACTTTAAGCTCAACCTTATAATTTGTAGACACATGAAATATTTTAGTTTTTTTTTAACAAAAACAAATAAGATTTCAAACCTAAGGCTATAAAGTTAAAACCAATAAAAAAGAATAGGGAGTGAGCCTCAAACAACAAGTTTATATTGTTGACAAGGACTGACAATGGGCCAAGCATTACATTTTCTAAATTAAAACGCGCATTGGACTGCCCTCGAAACATGCATACATATACTCTGTAGTAAAAAACAAGTGATAACATAAATATTTTATCTTATCATATGACTAATAAAAATAGCTAAAGAAAATGAATAAACTGTGTCTTTGTGAATAATAAATATGCATTTTAATTTGAGACGAAGATTAAATTCCATATTTCAAAATTATATTGAAAAATTTATAAAACAAAATGTGACATAAATATTTTATTTTATCAAGCAACCAATGAAAAACACAAATACACAAAAATTTACATAGAATTCTTTTATAATATTTGACTGAAATTACTTTTTATTCATTTTTAAAAAAGTTAGCGTAAAATTAAAAGTTAAAATTAAGACATAGAAAATACAAATCTTCCACCAAATAAATGTTTTATTTTATCAATCAATGAAAACAAAAAAGTAAAATAAAAGTTATCAAGATGACAAAGTAATATCTGAGACAAGAAATTGTACTTCGTACAGTTTGACTTTTATACCAAGTATGACCATACATTATGATAAAAGTGTTTTAATTATAATTTAAATTTAATTTAATTAAATTTGTTTTAAGATGTAGCATTAATATATTAAATTGATATATTACTTTTAATTTCATGCTAACTTTTTTAAAAATGTCTATGTTTCATTTATAGTGAAGTAGCAGTCAATCATTACAACTCTCAATGCTGATCGCGGATCATCTGGTAACAATCGGTTTATGTTTTAAACATAGAGGTTAAGCTGCGTACATCCGACCCTCCCCTGCTACCCAGTAATGGGTGGGAGCCTTTGTAATAGGAAAATGTGTCACTAAAATGTATTCAGAGGAAAGAAAGATTATGAATCATATATTTAATACTTCCTACGTCCCAATGTAAATCATCTATTATTGTTTCAAAGTTCGACTGAAATAATTTTTCATATAATTTATTTGAAATTGATTTGGAACTAAAAAATAAAACTTATTCCCTCCGTGCCAAATTAAATTACAAGTTTATATTCACATGATCAAATTTTATTCACTTTGTATCCTTATTTTCGTTGGTCATTTAATAAAATAATATAATCATGTCATCACTAGTTTTGTAGATCTTTTAATGTAGTTTTTAAATATGTAATTTTATTTTTAATTCTACACTATTTTTCATATAAATAATTTATAAATAACTTCAATCAAACATCATAAAGCAAAACAGTCAATTTAAATTGGGACGAAGGAAGTACATATTTAAAAACTACATAAAAAAATCTACAAAACAAAATGTGACAAGAATATATTATTCTATCAAGCGGGTAGCGAAAATAGATAAAAAAAAACGTAATTAAAATTTGATCATGTGAGTAGTTAAGATACAACTTAAATTGAGACGGAGGGTATATTTTAAATAAAATGTGTGATATGTGAAGTTTATTTTGGATCATCCAAAAAAGGAAGGTGTAAGTTTCTTTTGAAGAAATAACCCACACAAGTATTAGTTACAGTTCTAACCCCTGCATATATACTCGACTTATACACAAGCAAAAAGATACGGAGTATGTCAAAAGAATCATAAGAGGAATGAGAATGATAAGCTATCAAAAACAAACACATAACAGCTTAGGACAATACCATTAGGGTTTGTAATGTAATACAAAAAAAATTTAGTTAAGACAACACCGATAGGGTTTGTCAGTTACTCCATCCGTCGAAGGTATATATTTGCGTAGTTTGATTTTTCTCAGTCAAAATGGACAAACATTGATCATCAATTGAATAAGAATTACATTGCATATTAATGCAGTGAAATACCTTGAAAAGTTTTTTTTGAATTAATATGCAATGTAGTTTTTATTTCATTGATAATCAAAGTTTACGCCGAACCAAATCAAAAAGCATGCAATCGCCGTTTAAATTAGGCCATGTCTTCATGATAGAGGTGGAGACCGAGACCGAAACGAGCACATGCACGGCGGAACGCCATTGCCTCCGCCTTCTGAACAGCATCACCATAACCAGGATCACCTATTGAAGCCGTGCCTGTTGATTCTCGGTATATCTGGTAAACACAAGAGCGAAACAAATGAAAAATAAAAGAAATACATGTTTTTTGTTTATCCTGTCCCTTGAGTTGTGTTACCAGCCTAAAACTTGACCTTGGTGTGAGGAAATAAAACACAAATGGAAGGTACATTAATTTAAAGACCGGGTTTTTTTTTTTGCTCAAATGACTGAATCTATATAGTCTCACGAATTATCTAAAAATGTACAAAAGTAAATATTTTTAAAAATGAACAAAAGAATGACTAAGATACGAGGGTAGAGGATAAATTGGTGGTTTTCTAAATACTGAATAATGAATTAATGATGGTAAGCCAAATAAGTGAAGATACAAATGAACAAATCAGATTTAAAGGCCACTTTGGAACAAATAAATACTAGGGAAACAGAGCATGACGGATAATATAGAAGAAATTTGTAAGGAAAGAAAATGTGGATATAAAAAATATTTGTTCAAGCCCGAAAAATTCATTATTTTAATAAATAAAAGGAATATAAATGGTGTAAAGATTTCAAATTCATAATGCAATTTCTTTATATTAAATAAATAAAGGAGTATAAACGGTGTAAAGATTTAAAAAATAATAATAATATTTCATTTTTTGAGGTAAAGCCGAACATAAGAGTAACTTCCACTGACATTTTCCAAGATCCAAGCGCAGTGTAAACGTTTAGTTCCTTGGGCTATATTGGAGGAAAATCAAACTATAACTATGTACTATGTAATAAATGAGGTACAGTCAACTTGATTTCATGCTCATTGAAGTACTAACAACTCAGGCCCCCCAATGATGTACAAAGCTAACAGATACTTGAATTAGATCTTAGTTGCATATAGAGTGAGTCAAATCTAACGAAATAGCTTCGACAAACATGCCACAATCATAGAATGCTACACCTCTCTGTTTTTTGGTATGCATAGAAAAGTGGTGGGGTCTGTTTGGGCAAAAGTTTTTGGAGCATTGGAAGGGTTAGTGTCTTTATCTTGATACATAGAATGTTTCTGACACTGAATAAAAGGTGATTGAAATGTAATAGTGTACAACAACACAACAAACCCATTAAAATCCCACCAAAGGTAGGGTATGGGAAGGGTGTCTATACGCAGACCTTACCACTACTCGAGAATAGAGAGGCTGCTTCCAAGAGGCTTCTAGCTCAAACGCAGAAATATAAATAAAGTCAATATCATACATGAACAAAGTAAGTGCACAGACAAAATAAAATAGGGTCACATACTATATTACTATGATAATCTTACCATTTATGAAATATCAAATAAATACCCAGATGGGTAGTGCCAGTATGGCCCATAGATTGTTAAATCTACTTTATCTCTCTCATAAGTGTTTGAGAAGATTCCCAGACACATTCCGGAATTACCCTCTTGGATAGCGTTTATTGAACGAAGTTAGAAATAGTACCTCAGCATCAGTTCCATAAATCGTCACTCTGTAGACAACTGATACTGACTTGCCATCAGCTGAGTATGTAATGCTTCTCACCTCACCGGACCATTCTGCATTTGACAAAGGGTGCATGAAGGGGGGGGGGGGGGGAGAACTACTCATGTTGCTCAAAATAGCTAATAATCTGATAATTAATTATATAAGCATGGGAACCCCGGTATCATACCTGGAGCATGCAAGTTCATGATCCTATTAACAATGTGCCTGGAGAATTTCAGAATGCATAGGAGATTAGGAGTAAGCTTGGATTCCTTTTTTATTGTTTGTGAGAAATATAAATCAAATCAAACCAAACAAGCCCATTATATCCCACTAAAATGTTTGGTTGGGAGTCTGGTGAGAAATAAGCATATAGTAGTACAATTAAACAATAAGGACATACTCGCATATAAAGGAGTAACAAAAACAACAACCTAATTGAATCCCACATGAGTAGGGTCTGAGGAGAATACCCCTACTCAGAGAGTAGATAGGTTGTTTCCAAAAAGATCAAAATCCCCTAAATTCTTCTCCTCCGGTGTTATTTTGTTTAGTGCATGTGTGACCGGGAGAGAGAGGGGGGGTGAGGCAACCCGTAGGTAAACACTGTTCATACTTCGCACATAAATTCATTAAGCAACAATGACAACAGAAACACCTAAAGATATTGGCAGTGTGTAGTAATTAGCACCATGCAAAATTTTGGAGCCAAAATTTTCAAAATGTAAAGATATTGGCAGTGTGTGAATCTGTGATGATGGAGCCAAAATTTTCAAAATGTAAACAAAAAAGGGATGGTCATATAAGAGAGTGGAATATATAAAGACCACAGTATCCATTAAAGCATAGAAAAACTAGACACAAAATATGGCATGAGGGGGAACCGTAGATCAATGTTTCTCATACTTCACACATAATTTCTTTTAACAACAATGCTGGCAGAAACAGCTAAAGATATTGACAATGTGTAGCAACTAGCAACCATGCACCAGCTTTAGACTGATTGGGCGATTGGGCCAAACTTTTCACAAATGTAAAAAAATGAATGAACATAAAACTAGACAAGAACAACTATTACACGAACGAACTTGTAAATACCAAAAACCAAAGCATTTGTCCACTTTTACCATAAATGGCTCTTCAATGGTACATTTGGATGTCTTCATACAAGCAAAACTTGGGGTTCCATTCTTAAATTTCAATCTCATAGCGATAACAAATTATCCAATTATTTTTCTTTCTATTTTATATTTTGTCGATGTGGGATCATAGTTATCAATGGCGCAAATGGCGCGCGCCATAGATGCGCCTTTGGCGATCTGCAGCGGAAACGCCACAAATTGGGTCGTGGCGGCCGATTGACTCGTGGCAGCGCCAAATCTGCGCCATCGCCACGCCATCGCCATTCTTGCACCATTTTTTTAATTTAACCCGACCCAAACCCAAAAAATTAGGCCCAATTTAGAAATTAAACCTTTAATTAGTAGTCTCCAGCCCCTTAATCTTCCCAATCGATTCCCAATCGACGCTCAAAAACCGCCAAGCCTCCAAACCGACAACTATGTGTGGGATGGCTTGGCTCGTCCCACAAGCTGATTGTTCATCGAAGAATATTGATCTTGAAGTTTGTGTGGTCGTTGTTGAGGCTTAATCAAATCTCTCATTTCATCTTGGTAGGCTCTTAGCAGACCCCTTTGCTTCTTCCATACTTTCCCATGGAGAATTATGTAATTATAGGTTCTTTTTCTAAGTTGATTCTTATAGTAAAATGATTGATTTTTATCCACTTTTACCAAGCCACCAAAGAAGAAGACACCCAAATGTACCATTTTGGAAATCAAAAATATACTATTAATCTACTATTTCTATAGATAACTTGAATTTTTATCCATAGAAATCGCATAAAAACACTCGTAATTGAATCAAACCCTAACATCCCTATGATTCAGAATATACAGAAAAAAGGAACTGACTAACCAGGGAATGTATTTGATGGGGAAACCGTCAGTTTCAGTGCGAACTTTGATGAGAGATTCCGGAACTTTCTTGTTGAGCTCTTTCAGTATATCGGAGAGCGTCCGGTGGATTCCGGCGGCCGAGACGGGGTCTACTTCACCGCCGTCGGCATTCACGTCATGGTTGCTGCTAGTAGCGGCGGAGGAAAACGATGAAGAAGCAGAGAAGCCCCTCTGGAAAAGGAAACTCCTTTTGACTAGGGTATGACATGCCGATCGGAGTGAAGAAGTCGCCATTTTCCTCTGGTGTTATGAAGATGCTTTGGAAAACAATCGGACAAATATTCATTATAAATACCAAAAACTAAATATACAAGCCAAAAATTTTAACGGTGCAGATTACTTTGAAAACGTTAATATTAAATACTGGCCGTAGATAGCATTTTCAAAACGCTAATGCTAATTTCTAAAGCTATTCTTAAACAGGCCCTTTATCACTCAAACTCCAAAATATATTACTTTCTAGTTCACACTTTAAATTATTTATTTATTATACATAAAAAATTATAAACACGTTCATGACATATTTAAAAAAACAATAGAGTCTTGTCACCTCTTATGTAGAAGTTTTGATATAGTTTTAGAATATATAATTTTAAAAATTCTAAAATTAATATTTTAAATCTAAAATTTAAAACAAGAGAATATAAATACGAACCTAATGTGACATCTAACCAAGAGAACTTGTGATGAAATGACAAAAAATTCATAAAGAGTACCCTAGGGGACATCTTTTGCCGGCCCTATTTTATTTTATGTGCAGTACATTTCTTCTTTAATTATCAATAATGCAAAATTTTGTTTGTGAAATACTCCAAATTTGATAATTTGCATTTGGTTCGTTACAAAATTTTAAAAAAAAAATGAAATTGTGTGATTGAAATTAAAGTTTTATATACTCTAGCAAAGTGTAGTCCTATATATATATATATACTCTTGCAGCTAGATACACGGGATGGCCGGTAGCCATTGAGGCACTGGGGTAATGTTGTTGTATGATCGACACGTGCCGGACCGGAGTGAAGAAGACGCCATTTCCTGCAATGTTAAGAGGGACTACAGCAGTCCGAGGAACTGATGAAAGGGAGGTGTTTCAGGAAGATGCTTTAATATGTTCTGAGAACAATAATCCCACACCGATGCATCACAAATAACAAAACCTGAATAAGAACCATGGAAATGTCCTCAACCAACAATACCTTCCGATTAGTACTCGAGAGAGAAGGGGTATCCGAATACTGAATACTATCAACTTATGAAATTAAAAACTATTTGGATACCCCTTCTCTCTCGCATAAATATTGGATGGTTTTTCTTTTTTTTTTGTGGTGAGGAAAGGCTGATTTTCTTTTTGGTATCCTGGGGTTTGGCTCTGAATTCCAAGAAAGTTAGAGAGATGGCTAAGATAGGTTTTAAATTCATGTTCCAACAATATCATCGCGGCACTATGGACTCTGCACGTAGCCGACGTGGCTGGCATCCGCCTAGCGTGGGGCTGCAATGACGGGGTAGATATACGCCACATTGAATGTTAGAAACCAATAACGCAAAAACCCCAACCAGATTACAAGAGGGAGAATCCAAAACCCAAACCTGTTGAATTTGGGACTCTACCGTTCGTGATGAACACTGAAACCTGGAGCAGATTTCGATTAGGTTCGGGCCCAGAAATTGATTCCCACAGCAGATCGGAGCTCGAGATCTGAACAATCTGCCTTAGGCGATTCCAACAAAGCTAAAATTTTCCACAAAGATCAACAAATCAACTTGATGAAAGAGAAAATCTCGGCCTAGTAAGAGCGTGAATTCACTTTCCCTGTGATTTGCTGTTAGTAGCGGCGGAGGAAAGCGACGAAGAAGCCCCCGGGAAAAAGGAAGCTCCTTTTGACTAGGGCATGACTTTCCGGCCGGACTGAAGGAGACACCATTTTCTCCGGTGAGGTCTGCAGTTTATTGATTTGTTGGTGAGGTGAAAGTTGAAACCTTCCCACACCGCTACATCACAAATAACAAAACCTGAATACAAATAATGGAAATGAACGCTACTAACAACAAGTTTGTAATTGATATCTGAATGTGTCATAATATCCTAATATTAATTACTTTGATTAAAAAATGAAATTAAATACTATTTGGATATTACGACACATTCACATAGATGATTGATAGACTTGAATGATTTTTTAAGTGAGAATTTTTTTTCCCAAATTAGGAGGAGGTAACCCGTAAACTATCTTCCTTGTAGTGGTGTCCTCCATCACATGCTGGGGATCTTCATGTTCCATCCAATCCGCATGCCGAAAGGCTCCATATCCAGCAGAGTGATCAACCGCAAAATTTTGCTCACGAAATATGTTTTTAATCTTGATCCTCTTGTACTTGTTTTGTCACTTCTTAATGTCATCAACGATGTAACGAGTAAGTCCTCTAAGTGAATGATGGCAGCCATCTACTTAACAACCTCACGCGCATATGTTTGATCTCAAGTTCTCAGACTCCTTTTTCCCAAGTTCACTAAAAACCAATGCTAATGGTCACAACTTCCATCGACGTTGCAATTCTTTCTCTAACCTTGGGCCTGCATCCACGTTTCCACTGACCTCTATTATTCCGAAGGACACCATCTATAGCTGCTTTGCAAATGAACATTGTGCAACTTCCATCAACATTGAGGGTCCATTCTCAATCTTGAGTTACCTTCCATTTGAGCGAGCAATCAATTGAATTAGAAAGATTGCTCACCATCTCTTGTATCCCAAAAGCAGCATTAATTTTTCTAACTGCCTCTTTTTTCATTTTTTATTCTTACTTTGTTTGCCCATGAATAAAGTTTTTTAGTTCAAGTGTTTACTCATGAAATAATTTTATTAATTTAATCATTTAAGCACTATTTATTGTATTACATTGTAGTATATCTATTCCACATTTTTATCTGTCATCAACTAATGAGAGACTTTAACCCCAATCAGATTACAAGAGGGTTCGCGATGAACAGTGAAATCTGGAGCAGATTTCCCTTAGATTAAGGCCCAGAAGTTGATTCCCGCGGCAGATTGGTGCTCGAAATCTGAACAATATGCCTTAGGCGATTCCAACAAAGCTATAATTATCCACAAAGATCAACAAATCAACGTGATGAATGAGAAAATCTCGGCCCACTAACAGTGGCTGGCGGATCCAGAAATTAGTATGACCAGGGGCACATTAGTACTAGGGTTCATGGTAGTCCGCCTCCACTCCACCCCCTGGATTTTTTTTATAAAGAGCCACCATAAAATGAAAAAATATACTCTAGATTTCATCTGAAATCATCTTTTGAAAAATTAAAATTAAAATATTCTAAAATGGTAAAATGTAATTTACACAATATATTACTCTATAATTTGGCTTCATTTATCAAATTTTAAAGATTTCACGTTCAGATTATATTCAAACAATCATTAATAATGCTAATAAACTAAGGCCTTGTTTGGAAGTTGGTGGTTGGCTGTTACTTGCGTTATGTAATTATTTTAAAAATGTAATTTTATGTATATGATTTTTATAATATAATATTATATAATTTATAAAAAAAACTTTTAATATGTAAGTTTTAGAATAGACTATTTATTTTATTTTATAGCAACTCAGTATTAAGAATCATAAAATAAGTATAAACATGTACAGTAAATAAGAACTTGCTTAGGAGTACAATGTTATTTGTTTAATGAAATTAATATTGAAATGTAAACTCTTGATAATTATAGGCTTTGACTGGGGGGCAAGTGCCCCCCATGGCCTTGCACTGGATCCGCCCCTGCCCACTAAGAGCGTGAATTTACTTTCCCTATGGTTGCTGTGCTAGTAGCGGCGGAGGAAAGTGACGAAGAAGCCCCCGGGAAAAAGGAAGCTCCTTTTGACAAGGGCATGACTTGCCGGCCGGACTGAAGAAGACGCCATTTTCTCCGGTGAGGTCTGCAGTTGGGGGAACTGAACTGATGATTGTTAGTGGGGTGAAACCTTCCCACACCGCTGTATCTCAAATAACAAAGCCTTAATACAAATAATGGAAATGAATGCTATTAACAACAAGTTTCCAATTGATATTTGAACATGTCATAGTATCCCAATACTATTTACTTTCATTAAAAATGAAATTAAATACTATTTGGATATTATGACATGTTCATGTAGATGATTGATAGACTTAGATACTTTCAAGTGAGGGTTTTTTTGAGGAATTTTTTTTATCAAATGGAGAGATGGTAATTCCATAATAATTCTTCCCTCAAGAGAAATCAACAAATCACCCTACAAACTCTGGTAGCGTTCATTATTTTCTTTGTAATGATGTCCTCTATCAGAGGTTGGGGATCTTCATGTTCCATCCAATCTGCATGCCGAAAGGCTCCAATATCAACAGAGTGATCAACCGCAAAATTTTGCTCACGAAGGATGTTTTTAATCTCGATCCTCTTGTAATTGTTTTGCCACTTCTTAATGTCATCAATGATGTAACGAGTAGGTCCTCTAAGTAAGATGGCAAGCATCCACTTAACAACGTCACACGCATATGTTTGATCTCACTTTCTAGAACTCCTTTTTTTCAAGTTCCCTAAATACCAATAGTAATGGCCGTAACTTCTTTTTCTAACCTTAGCCATGAATCCACCTTTCCACTGACCTCTATTATCCCAAAGGACACCATTGATACCTGCTTTGTCAATGAACATTTTGCAACTCCCATCAACATTGAGGGTCCATTCACAATCTTTAGTCATCTTCTATTTGTGCGAGCAATTAGTTAAATTGGGAAAATTCTCATCATCTTTTAAATCCTAAAAAGCAGTATTAATTTTTCTGTCTCTTTTTTCATTTTTAATTCTCACTTCCCATAAATAAAACTTTTTAATTCAATTGTGTTACTCATGAAATAGTTTTAACTTTAATTTTTTAATTTAATTTTTTAAGCACTATTTATTGTATTACATTGTAGTATATCTATTTCACATTTCAACTAATGAGAGATTTTAATTTCACTTTTCACTATATAAAAGAATAACCTTTTTTCCTGTTGACACAAAATACTAATCTCTTAGTTTAACACCTTTGGAATAATTTTTAAAAACATAATCATTGTTTAATTATAGATATTTTTTTAAAATGAAATTAAACAATAACTCCGATCAAACATCTGAAACATAATTATCCAATCACAGCGTCACCTAACCACCCCGCCCATGGTTGAAGCTTTTACTCAACACCTACGTACACCAGGTAGATAACTTTTATTTATTTCCATATTTTGTTGACTATTTGATAAAATAATTTTTAAATACATAATCATTTTTTATTATATAACAATTTTTAAATAAATTAAATTAAAGAATAACTTTGATCAAACATCTTAATTAACGCGTTAGCTACAGCAATGCACGGGTCAATACGCACAGCGCCGGCAACAACTTCAATGTTTAGTTTTAACAATTTGAAAAAACTATTTATAAACAATGATTTACATTAGCATTTTCAAAAATAATCTGCACCATATAAAAAGATTATACAAAGGGTGTTCTAAGGATAATTTTGTTAATTTTTAATAAAAGTTGTGGATATAGCAAAGAATAGCGTGAATTTAGCAACACCTTAATAGAAAATACATACTTCCTTTGTCCCAAAATGGATCACACAGTTACTATGCTAACATCTCGATAACTTTTGTTTGTTTCTATATTTTATTAACTATTTCATAAAATAAAATATTTTTGTTGACACTTATTTTGTACTGTAGAATTTTTTATATAGTTTGTCCACATTAGTGAATAGTCTAGCACGACACTAGTGGTAGTAATTAAAGTGGCGATGGTGTTGGGTAACCACGCATGGATAGCACAACGGAAAACAAAATTCTATATCCAATCGTCGTTAGCACACAAGATCGTCTTACGAAACCATAAATTATTGTTACAAAAATACCTTTTCTCGCAGAAAACATATCAGACGGTGCAGGTGAAGAGATTGGTGCAACGAACCAGTCACAAACTAATACAACCTCTAGCGCGTCCACACGAACAACAAACAGTGTCCTAAGAAGAATTTATGAGAGTAAATTCTTCCTAGAATATTACTATTATATAAAATATTATTGGAATGATGAAGAAAAAAATCCCCTTTATTTTTCTTGTGATGTTTCGGCCAAGGAGAGGAAGAGTTGGAGTGATAGTGGCGTGTGATCTCATTTTAAAAAGAGATCTTATCCCCTAACTTTGTGGAAGTAAAGTTGTGTATCAACACAAACTCCTTCCTTCTCCCACTTCAATATTTCGGCCCTATGTAAACAAAATGTAACTTATTTTGTCAACTTTAATTATCATATAATTAAGACAAAATAAATATTAAATATAAATTTAATAATTCAGTAATCACATTACTGTATGTGTGTGTGTGTGTCTATATATATATATATATATATATATATATATATATATATATATATATATATATATACTCCCTCCATCCCCGATCAGATTACAATATTCCCTCTTATTTTTGCCCCAAAAAGAATTTCAAAGTGTTTACTTTTACACTAAATGGACTCTTTTATCTCCCTCTCCTTTATCATTTCAATGTCAAAATCTCACCCACCCACCCATTCCTATACTATTTGGGGGGTAATTTGGGGAAAAAATATTAATTTGACTCTTCCTTAATTTTGTCTAAAAGAGAATATTGTAATCTAAAAGGGGACGCAAGGAGTATATTTTATTTCACATATAATATTTGAAAAACTTAATTATCACATAATTAAAATGTCAACATATTTATTTAATATGTACGTCGCACGTCCCATATTATTTCACATCATTCCATCTAATTTTCTACTCCGTTCAATTGTTTTATGTGTGTGACCCTTCTTGGTATTCATAACGATGACAATAGTATTAATCATAATTAATACTATAAACGATAAGCAATATCTAGTAACACATCATCGCTACCCATGTTATAAACATAAAGTTCATTGCAACAATACCCAATATTTTAAAAACCGGACTGGACATCGAATCGGATAAGCCATTGGGTCAAGAGTCAACCGGTCGAACTGGGTTGACTTGGGTCAACGACCCCTTACTTGGTATATAATATTCATATTTATGTTTAGATAATAAAAAATTAAATAATACAATATTTTGTGGACTCTTTTAAAGATAATAAAATATTATCACATAACTTAAATATGCATATTATTTCAAAATAATACGAAGCACCTACTCCCTCCGCCTAACTTTAATCTTTCCATTTGAATCGGATACACATATTAAGGAAAGATGTAAATGTTATTCTCAATGTTAAATAAAATATTTAATATTGTATTTTTTTCTTCTTCATGTTAATATAATTAATATATATATTTCTTCATTTTATAGATGATAATATTTGTTTAGATATAAATTATTCATTATTATTTAATACAAAAAATAATATTTGTTTTTTACTTTGAAATATTTTAAAAGATTATAAAATAATTACACAACACAAACATGATCTTTCTTACAAATAGTAGAATTTAGAAGTTTTTTTAAATTCACTCAATACAAATAAAAATACTATATACACTATTATGCATGACTTTGTTAACACGTATGGGGTAGCTTAAGTTGTTATAGTCTTAGAGAGTTGTATGGAGAGGTCTAGTGTTCAAATCCTATCTCCATGATTGTAGACAAAAAAATTAAAAAGAAAACTTTAGAAAGAAACCCGCGAGTCGGCTGGGTCGACCCAAAACATACCCAAAACATAATTGTACGTCCACCAGTATTTCAGATGGCATCAGAACATCGTAGTTTTAATCTATGCTACCAGAGCGCTAAGTCTATGGACAAAAGCCATGTTTAGATACACGAGATGTATAAACAATCTTTGGGGCCTTTTATTCTTGATAAATATTCAGATACTTTCATACATTGGCCTCTAAGGCTCATATATCCAACAAATGGGATTATACTTTAGGCTTCATTCGAAGTTTTAACGTAGGTGTATACAATCGGCCCGGTTTCGTGGCCACTGAAGCCACTGCCCCCCTACGGACATCTATGGTGCTCCATTCGTAAAATTGATGATTCCTACCCCGCCTAAACCCTCGGTAAACCCTCCGCCCAGTCTCGACTCTAACTCATCCCCACCCACGGCAATTGTACCCTGCAATTTTAGTTGACTTTGAAGTCAAAAGTTTAGATTTTAAAATCAATTATACTTACAGGTGCAATTGATGTAGGTGGGGGATGAGTTGGGGTCGGGACTAAGTGAGAGTAGGAATAATCAATTTTATGAACAGAGCACCGTAGGAGGGCAGTGGCTTCCATGGCCACTAGAACCCAGTGGCCACGGAACCTAACCGGTATATAATACGATCTCCCAATTAAGTTTTTCAACTAAAGATAGTAAACATTTGCAGATTTTCTAGGAGCCATCTGTTTCCTTTAAACATTTTCAATACATGACACTCATAAACATGTCCCAGACATGTCTCTACCATGGGTAGAACATGGAATTTCATTTACCTTAGCAAGAAAATGATGCTGCCCTAGAGAGTTTCATCAAAGTTTCTTCTTTCTCATGACCTAATTGCATTTTACCATTATTTTTCTTTTCATGGATCAAAAGCCAAAAAACAAAAAAAAAAAAACAAAAAGAGAAAACAAAAAAGAAAAGGAAGATTATGAAGAAGCCTGCACCCTAAGAATTACAGACAGGGAAGCTTAATATCTACTTGAGTGCAAATCATTGTTTCCCCATGTCAAAATTTAGCACATGAATTTCATGTTTTGTTTCAAAGCTCATGGAAAATGCACCTAAAAACAACAAAGTAAAATCCCTCAAAAAGAAGGGTTTAATGTGTACCCAGGCTTTACCCTTACTAGGTATAGTACAGAGGTTATTTCCAAGAAGAACCCGACTTCTACTGTTCATAAAAGTTTAATAAATTTGAAATGAATCTAGAAAAGTTTTTTTAAAAAAAAATCCACCTTTATTTCCCCCAAGAAATGAGTTGAATCTAAGGCAGATTAACGGAAACAAAGGGGAATGTTTATAGCAATCTATAACCAAACGGATTCTTCGAAATCTAATCTGAAACAATTGCAGAAATGTAGAAGAAGAAAACAGCAGAAGACAAAACCGCAATTGCGTGCAAAAAAACACTAAGGTTAAAAGAGACAGAGGGGACTTGCCTTTCATTTGAATGCAGACAGTCTGTTGAAACATGAAACACACATGACTGAACTACCACAGCTTGCAAGCTTAGCCTTCTCATCTGATTAGCCCAAATCAATGCCTTAAATAGAGAGCTGATACGGACATTGATATATTATCATGGCTGTTGAGCTAATCATTAAATAAACAACAGGATTCAGTTCCCATGATCGCGGCCCCTCTCCATAACAACAGGTTAGAACTTTTGCTACCCACTGCTTAAATTTGTATTTTTCCTACCCGTATGATAATCTAAGCATAGTTTAGTGATTGCAGCTAAAGACACTTCTTGATTAATGCATTTTAATTACACTTTCTATGTAAACCAAACACCATAATACAAAAAATTCCTTCTTTACTAGAATATGATTCAAATTTTCAGAAATGGCACAAATTACAACGATTTCTCACAGCCAATCATTGATTGTCTAGGGTGGTGCCAACCTTGATGTCATCCGTGGGGTTAAAGTAGCATTTTCCCATTCTTATCTGTTGTCGGTTGTACACAGTAAAACTGTAGTAGTATATGAACATCATTGGAACAATTATGGTAGGGTCAGGATGGCATCTCTTTCAAAATTGGGACCCATGTACCATTTCAACGGATGAATTGTCGTCACGCATATTATTATAAATAATACATGTGAGGACAATTTAACCGTTTGACACATGGTTAAAGTTTCTTTTTATGGAACTTATGAATCGAACCTGAGCCCACCCACATGAGCTGTTCTATGGAATACAGATTATGACCGAAGATCTTCTAGTGTCAATTTAATTTTACTAAAATTAAATTGACACTGAAGATGCACCCAGACTGTATAGTGGGAACATTTTATGCCATATATCCCGTCTCAAACTTCTGCAATAAAAGAAAGAAAGAATGATTAGTGAGGTGAAATTCCAAAACCGCCTCCATCATATCAACTACATTTCTAAGATTAGCGAACACTATAAGTTCGCACCAAAAGTATAGTGGCAGAATCTCCAAAACCATCATCATCATATGATATTCACAAAGTGCAGTATGGAATCAACAAAATGCTTCTCTGTATTTCCCATATTCAGTGTTCCATTTCACACAAATTTATCATCATATCATCACTCTAGAGGCAAAGTGCCCCATTTGGCAACAACTTCAGCGTTTAGCTTTAGCGTTTTGAAAAGGCTGCCTAACGATATCGTTTAGCTTTAACGTTTTCAAAATTAAACGGCATCATTAAAAATGGAGTAAAAAATAAAATAATCCAAAACACTAACTAAAAATGTTGTTCACAAACGAGGCTATAGTTATACTTCTCATCCTGTTTTGATGGGTGGAAAAACGAAAACGAGGGGAATGAAAATAGTGTGAGCAAGAGTAGTTATCTCCTCATTGGAAGGGGAGAAAAAAAGGAAGGGGAAAGACAATGAAGAGAAATATATGTATAGTCTCCCTCGCCCGACCATATTTTTTTTTGCTCTATTTCTCAACACACAATATACATTGAGCCTAACTCCAAACTTTTCTCAGATACATATAATATCTCTCCTTCCTCACATATCTCCCTGCTCTCTCCTCCCATTTTTATTTCCTATCACATAAACCATATTCCAATGGATTTAATATCATCCAAATAGTGTATTATAGGTGGCTGCAGGAGCATAGGAAGCTATTAGTACCTGGGCTGCAGCTGATTACGTGGCCTAGGCAGCTCGGCAAAGTGAGTTCAAAAATGAGAGCGAAAGCAGTTTCCGGGAAAGCCATAGTAGTTCTCTGTGTGGCAACCTTTCTAGCTGGATCACTGTTCAGTAGCCGGGTATGGAATCTGCATTCAGATAATACTACAACAGATGGCAGAGTGAAGCTCAGAAGTGTCAACAGTGATTGTGATCACAAGCGTGTAAGCTTCAAAAAAAATTACTTTTGCATATTTTGGGTCCATTTGGAACCCAAAAAATACAACAACATTACCCCAGTGCCTCAATGGCTCCCGCCCATTGCAGGGTAAGGGGGGTTGGATGTATGCAGTCTGTCCCCTATGTTTAAAACATAGAGCGGCTGTTTGGAACCCAGAAAATACGATTGACAAAAAAATATGGATGAAAATGGGAAAGACATACTTAGGGGGTGTGGGGGGGGGGGGGGATAAAGGGTGGAATGAAACATACTCCGTAATAAATTTATTTTTGAAATTTGTTCAAACTCTTTATTTATTTATTTATTTGTATAAAGAGTAAAGAATCTAATAAATATAAAATAGGTTTTGATAAAAATTTATTATCTTCCATTTTTCTTTACATTTTCCAAGACACAACCATTTAACCCGGTTATACATAAGATAACAACAACAACAACCCTGTTAAATCCCACAAGAGTAGGGTCTGGGGAGGGTGTGTGTACGCAGACCTTGCCCCTACTCGAAAGTAGAGAGGCTGTTTCCAAAGAGACCCCCGGCTCAACATCGAAAGTTGCAGTGTTTGACTAACTGCTACTTCATTAATTAAAGAAGTGCAGATAGTTTTGAGATCCATTTTGATTTATTCCATCACACCCCAAAGCCAAAAATGGTGAAATTTTGACTCCATCAGAGATGATGGAAAACGGTTATACATAAGATAATAATTTTTTTAAGCCTCAAGTCCGTTCAGAACCCAGAAAATACAAGGGAAAGAAAATAGAGAGGAAAATGGGAATGAAAGAACGTCTAGGGAAAAATAAAAGACATAGTCAAGCTAAAAAAAGATTTGTTCAAACTCAAAGAACTTCACAATTTCCTTATTTGGTCTCCAAAATAAACTTCACACTTCTCTCATTTGTTTTGAAGAAAAGCACTTGTGGCTCATAACATATCTCTCTTATAAGCAAATTCCAACCGCCTTTCACTTCTCAACACTTTTCTTAAATTCCGCAAAGACAATCTGTGAAGTTTTTTACGGTGCAAAGGGAGTATTAAGACAAACACTATGTTTGGTTCATGGAATTCGAAAGGAAAAGAAAAGAAAGATGTTTTCTCTCCTTTTCCCTGCCAAAATGGAAGGAATGATGTTTTCCTTTCTTCTTAGTTCATTTTTCTCCCATTTTCTTTTCCTTCCACCATTCTTTTCAATTCCTCTCAAACCAAACAAGAAAAATTAATTTCTCTCTTATTTTCTTTTTTTCCCTCTTAAATTCCTTGAACCAAACATAGTGTAAGAAACTTATACCAATGAAACATGTATTTTTTTAAATATCATGTTCCATTTAATTTGCATTTTCCAAGGTAAAGAAAAACATACCATGAGAGATATCATGGGAAAGAAAACAATTCTACTAAAAGTATTTTTTTCCCTTTTCCCTAGCATTTCCTGTGATCCAAATATACCCTTTGTGTCTTTTTTTCCTCCTGATAAACACAACATTTTGGTTGACCAGAAACTTGTGGAAACAAATACAAGAGATATCATGGGAGAGGTCAAGAAAACTCATCTAGCTATCCAGTAAGAAAGCACATATAAGATTTTCTGCAAGAATTGAATGGTTATTGTGTATTCAAGTGTACGTAATCTTTTTTTTACTGTTTTCTCCTCAAGCAGGTCGCTTGAAAAAACAATATCAACATTGGAGATGGAGCTGGCCGTTGAGAGAATGAACCGAGCTGGAATCAAGACAGCAACAGAAGGAGGATCAAATAATAATAATAATAATAATAATAATAATAATCACAGCCTACACAAAGCTTTTGTTGTCATAGGAATCAACACAGCATTTAGCAGTAGAAGGCGGCGTGACTCTCTACGTGAAACATGGATGCCCAAAGGTCTTTCTCGTCCCTCCATACTTCACAAAAAAAAACGAAACTACTCCCTCTGTCCCAAATTACCCAAATTAAATGTGATTTTAGACACACACACAAAAAATATGCACAACAATGATTTGCTCCTATCAACTCTTCCTATAGACTACAATAATGGTTTGTAGCTTGAAAATATACGAAGTGCATTTATTTTTAAAACTTAAAAAAAGGTTACAAGGGTCATTTTGTAAGGTTCCTTAATAAGTGTTTACAACAGCAACAAAAAAACAAGTATAATGTTCTTAGGGGTCAAGATGTATGCAACCTTACACTGTAGAATAAAGTAATAAACAGTGAGGATGTATCCCCAATGTGTTTTGGGATGCAAGTAGTGTAAAACCAACAATCCTACATGGTCTTTTACATATCTAAGTAACATATACACAGGAGAGGAGCTAAAGAAACTGGAGAAAGAAAAAGGCATAGTCTTACGGTTTGTGATAGGACACAGTGCAACGCCGGGAGGAGTCCTTGATAGAGGCATCGATGAGGAGGATGCTGAATATAAAGACTTCCTCAGGCTTAATCACGTCGAAGGATACCATGAGCTGTCCTCCAAAACGCGCATATATTTCTCCACTGCTTTCTCCCTTTGGGACGCAGAGTTCTATGTAAAGGTGGATGATGATGTCCATCTGAACCTGGGAATGCTGGCAACCACTCTATCAAGGCACAAGTCAAAGCCCAGAGTCTACATTGGCTGCATGAAATCTGGGCCCGTTCTCTACCGCCAGTAAGTCAAATTATTATACGTATCAGAAAGCACACTATTTTTTTATTAAATATGTTTTTCGTCGCTCCAAATATAGCAGTTATTGCTTTAGGTTTCTCGAAACAAAAAACTGGTATTCCTCCAATCCTCCCTGTAAATGATTACATTCTTTTTTTATTCCCTTCCCCTCGGCCTCCGTTTGAAAACAAAACACATAATCAAGATGTGCTTTCCATGTAATTCTTAAATGGCTTAAATACGTGGAAATTCTACACATGTGTCTCAAAAAAACTGACCTTACAGACCTTTACCATGGACTTTCCACCGCAATTTCATCCCTTATGGTACAAAGCACAAAAAATACAAATGAGCTAAAACAAAAACCACTATAATTTTAGGGACAAAAAAACATATTAAATCCTTTCTCAAGAACATTTCAGAAACAACGCTATATATACCGATATTCAATCAAACTGACCCTATAAAAACACATTCTTGATTGCAGAGGAGTGAAGTATCACGAACCCGAATACTGGAAATTTGGAGAAGAAGGGAATAAGTATTTCAGGCATGCCACCGGCCAGATATATGCCATCTCCAAGGACCTTGCTGCATACATCTCTATAAACTCGTAAGTCACTCAAAAGAATGCTAATTAGCATCAGAACCCTTTATACCAAAACTTACCTTTTAAACCTGACAATTTGTAGGGGCATCCTACATCGATATGCAAATGAGGATGTGTCTTTAGGGGCATGGCTCATTGGTTTGGAAGTAGAACATGTGGATGAGAGATCAATGTGCTGTAGCACCTCTCCAGGTATTTAATTTTTTTAAAACTCGACTAAAGTGATTTATAGCTAGTTCAAATATTAACAGAAAATAGCTGGTAAAAAAATAAACAGATGAGATGTCAGGCTGTGAATGGAAAGCAAAGGCAGGGAACGTGTGTGTGGCATCATTTGACTGGTCATGCAGTGGGATATGCAAGTCAGTGGAAAGGATGAAACAGGTGCATCGTTCATGCGGGGAAGGTGAAGGGGTTGTTTGGAGTATTGATATGTAATGAAATTGAGAATTTTTAGCACTCATCAAGTCAAACTGAAACAAACGGATGAGAAGATTGTGAGAGGAACTTGTTACATTACCATTTTAATAATGCTTTCACTTTTGCACTTTTTTGACAGAATTTTGGTTTTGTCATTGGTCCAAAAACCTTGTTACCATCTAGTATAATAAATTTCAAGCTTTGTTGGTCATGTTTTTTACTCCCTCTGTTACAACCAATCTCGCATGGATGCAGAGGAGATATAGAATAATATGAAGCACATAACGCTGTCAAATCCCTTTGTGATGTTTCGTGGGGTGATCTGATTCACGTTGTCCAGAAGCGTGGCTTTCAACATCAGACCTGTTGTATTCCTATCTACGTATACAACCCATTTTTAATTTTGTTAAATCATACTCAATCAAACTAGGCATAAGAATTTTTTTCCCTATTCCATCTTGAAATTAAGTTCCTCTTTCTTTTTAGAACGATTCAAACAAAATTCTGATTTTAATGGTAAGAAGTGTGTGATTCATGTTATTTCTCGTCTTTAGATAAATTTCAATTATACTATTTTGTTTACTTGAAAATTTCCTGAAAATATAAATGACATGATTTGAAACCGTATGAGGAAGTATGTTTGAAAAGAATGACGCACCTGGTGACAAATGTTGTTGGCTTGTTCTGCATAATAACAGCCCAGTGAATAGCAATTTTATCCACACAAGCACCCATCTCTCCTAGTTTCAAGAATAGACCAGACACCCCAGTGGCGTAGCTCAACAGGTCAACAAGGGGTGCAAGAGGGGAATTTTAAAGCTCCGTTGGCTGACCTTTTGATTCATTTACTAGCCTTTCATTTGTTTACCAAACATAGCTGTTATATCCGGGCTTGGCCCTATCATACCCTCCCCCATGTTCCACACCCGAGACTGAGCCCACACTCCCCATACCTTCCCTAAACATCCAAAATATTTCCTTTTCAAAATAAAGTTTTTCCTACTCTTATTTTAGCCCTGGCCGAAAATAAGAGTGTGTAAACCAAAGCCTTTTTGTTTGTTGTTATTTTCCTTCTTTTAAGCCTTTTAATAAAACCCTCTCTTCCTTCCTTTCATTCCCTGCCCAAATAAACCTCACAATCCCAACACAAC